CCATGAGCCCGATCAATCTTGGAACATAGTGAAATACTCAGAGGTGTTCTGAGGACCAGACGTATGTCAAGTGGTTGAGACCGAACCAGTATAAATCTTGTGTCTTCCTTTCTACGGTAAAATCATTCTAAACTCACACTCTCTGTTTCCGATAGTTTTTTGTTTTAATTTCGTAAATTTTTATAACTCACCCAATTCACCCCCTTCTTGGGTGAAACTGCCACTAACAATTTATATATATTTTATAATAAATTATATTTCATTTGTTACTGTTTAGTAACCTTATTACTACTTAGTTAGTTAATAGAACAAATATGCATATCTATTTTGGATTGAATTTGTTTTTTGCCATCTTATTTAAATTTAGCCCTTATCATATCTATTCTATATATATATATATATATATATATATAAAATTTATCCCTTCCTATTACATCATATCTTATCTATTGTCTCAATATGTATATATAAGATTTATCAAATACATATATGTTCAGAGATCTATATATAGATCCCATCCCCCCACCTCTTGTTGAGTGCTCCAAGTTTCCCAAACAACAGAACCAGCGGTGCATCGTTCAAGGAGGCTTCTAAGACACAGGTCAGGCATACAGTTTTAGGTGCTATTTTTAGATTTCTCGTACATATACAAAATATGCCTGTGTGGGAAGCTGAATATTAAAGTGCTATGCATCATGGAAAATATAAACAAAATCTGAAAAACATATATATATATATATATATATATATATATATATATCAGTTAGAATCTTAGTATCACCATCGATTATGGTACTAAAATAGTTATCAGTATCTGTTAGTAAACCATACTATCTGCTGATTAAAACTTATATGCTGCCCCAACCAAAAAACAAAAAAAGAAAAAAAGAAAAACTTATATGCTGAGAGCGCGGTAATTTATTATGGTAATTTAATATTTTGTTTACAATGCACATATGCACAGATATGTGTCGGTTCTCTTAATTGGGTAATAAAACAGTTACTGATAAGAGATCAAGAACTTGTTTAGTTTCTTGTTTTGAAAACAATTTTTTGTTTTTAAAAATAGAAAAATAAAAACTTGTTTGGTAATTTGTTTTTAGTTGATTGTTTTAAAAAACAAAAACCAATAACATGTTTTTAAAAACTGAAAAACCAAAGCAACTTTTATATGTTTTCTTCTTTTTACTTTTGTGTTTTTTATTTTTTGTTTTGAAAAATTTTGAGAAATCTTCTTCTCTTCTTACCTACTATCCACTATTTATTATTACTGGTGACAACTATCACCTATACAAAGTATGATTTTTTATGATTTTTTTTCAAACATAATTTTTTAAAATTATTATCTGAACAAATTCTTTTGTTTTTTAATTTTCAAAACTCGTTCCAAGAAACAATTTTATATATTCTGTGTGTTCTTGTTTTGAGAACAAGAAAACAAAGAACAAAAACAAACATGCCCCAAGTTTCTGTGTGTTCTTGTTTCTCACCCTCTCGAACTATCATCGAGTTATTCATATATTCAAATATTGTGTCATATTATAATCATTTGTATTTATGTTTTCCCTTTTTTTCTTTTTATATTTTTGACGTATATATTATATTTTCTTATGGTACAGCTAGATTGCAATTCTAACAGTCATGGCTGATTCAAGACCCCTCAAAAGAATTAAAACCACTACTTATGAGGAAATTTCTACATCTAAGCGCATAACTTCTTGCTTCCCAAGGGAGATAGTGTTGGATATTACTTCAAAAGTTGCTTCTCAATCACTTGCTGACATCCATCGCCTCAAATTGACTTCCAAGGAAATGCTCAACATTACAGATGACGACAATGTATACGGTTCCTTTCATCCAATTCAAAGAAACCCCACAAGAAGCTTCATTTTTAAGTCGTTGCCGATCAAGTGGTAACTTAAAATCTCTCTATAGACAAGGCATGGAAGCATATTCAGTGACTTAGAGCTTCATCAGAAAGGGTTGGATGTGGTACATGTGGCTAGTCAAAAGGGACATGCAAGATCAATGCACGCTTTTGCCATGATAGTTCTGATGAGAAGCGAGACAAGAATAGATTTTCCGAGGACACAAGAACTTGAGAAGGCTTTGGGGTACTTAAGGTTTTCAAGGAATCAGAAATGTGTCCTTGGATGTAGGAATGATGTTTCAGAATTTATTCGTTGTTTAAGATGGAACAATATACATTCTGGTCTTGTGATGGCAGCAAGAGAGCGTCTGTGTAAGAATGTTCCGTGCACAAATACATGGAGACTCAAAATGGGAAGTTGGTGCTTTATAACTGGAGACGATGATGAGAATGATCCCAAAATGTGTGAGAATTGCAGATGGGATCATGAAGTGGAAGAATTTTGCAATATGATATAGATTTTTTATGTGGGTTGTTTTTTGGTACACGAGACAAACTTTTTGTTGGTTCTAATTTTGTAATGTTTTAATGATTATGCCCATTTGTAGCATGTTTATGGTAAACACTGATTTTTACTAAGTTGATCATTTTTCATCGTTGGCAAAAAAAAAAAACAAAAAAAGTTGATCATTTTTCCTTATTTAGGATAAGTTATGTATTGCAAGATTTAATTGATTTCAAATTTGAGGAAAAAACTAACTTAGTTAGCTAATAACTTAAAAGCAACAGTATTTATTGAAGAGATTATTAAAAATGGTAATCATTTATAAAGACTGAAAATCAAGATGTAAATATATTTATTGGAGAGAATATTAAAAATTGTAATTATTTATAAAGATTAAAAATCAATATATAAATATTAAATTGCGCAAGCCAAAAGCCTCTGCATTCTCTCTGGATAACTCAGGGGCAATTTATTTATGAGAAAAAATTGCTCTGCAGACCTCTGGTTCTTAATAATTTCACCTGATTGGCTAGTTGTATCCTTATTATTTATTATTTAAAATCCTATATTGCGTTTATATAAAAATTTATTTATAGATAACTGATTGATTGTTTCTTTATCATTTATTATACAATTATAATGCAAAAGATCTGTAATTTTTCAATATGAATAATTCATCTGAGGACACATTTTATTTACGCAGGTTAAAATATAGTTTGAAAGATCAAGATCAGTTGTTGCAATAATCTATATTCTAACAAATGCATGCTTTTCTGTAAATAATTGTTTTGTTTTAAATCAAATAATATATTATTCGTGTCATTATTAATTATTGGACACATACTGTTATCATCTTTTTATCGAAATCAATACTAGCTCTGGTTCTTAATACAAAAACTAGATAAAAATTTAATTTGATTATATATGTAATATCACAATACACTAGTCTTCTATATTTATTTATTTTGCCCCCAACCTCAAGTAATCTCCATGGTAATTGTGAAAATTGTTTCAATACATATGAATACATGATTAACAATGATAGTTTAGAAAAGATAATATCTATTTATTACAAATAATTAATTTAACTAATTTTTTTAATATTTGTAAATTAATTATCTAGTTTTTTATATTAATAAGAGGAGGTAGTACTAATATATCATTGGATGCATTCATGGCAAGCATTGAAAAGAAAGAAAGAAAGAAAGGAAAGTCATTTTATGCATTGGTTAATTATTAGCAATAATGTTCATCAACGTAAAGAAGATATCAAATCGGATCGTCGACAATCATACAAACTAAAGGCAGTTTAATATTGGGAAAATGATAATAAAATACCTTCTGAATTTCAAAATGACAAATAAGACATCTGAATAAACAAAATGACAAAAAAGGCATCGGGTACTAATCTGGAATTTTGATTTTAAATTTTACAAAACATATAGTGAGATTTACAGTTTTCATAGTAAGAGTTACTACTTTGTCAATAGGTTTTGCAACCTGTTTTGAAGGGCTGGGCAAGTTTTCTGTTAAAAAAAATATAACTCCACGCCGAATTTTACAAACACATAGTGGGATTTATAATTTTCAGAGTGAGATTTACTACTTAGTCAATGGGTTTTCCAACCTATTTTGAGGGGTTGGGCAACTTTTCTGTTAAAAACAATACCATTCCATGCTGAACTTTACAAAACACATAGTGGGATTTACAACTTTCATAGTGAGAATTACTACTTTGTCAATAGGTTTTACAACATGTTTTCAGGCCAAAAATCAAAATTCCAGATTGGTACCTAATGCCTTATTTGTCATTTTGAAATTCAGAAAGTATTTTATTGTCATTTTCCCTTTAATGTTTTTAAACTTATATTTTGGTATTATTGTACTTTTAAATTTTAAATATTCTCCTGGCTCGGAAGAGAATGGAGGTGGAAAAAATATGTGGTGTAAATGTTGATGCAATGCAAGTTAACTGTGCTAGTGTTTTAATGTTGATTTTTTTTCATAAATAGTTTCTATATTTTTCGATGACAGGAGAAAATTTTACGAAAATTTATTGTAAATTTAATTTTATAAATATCTTGAAAAAATATTTTTAAAAAACTCAGATACCTGTGATCAATAGATGCTTGTAACCTTTTTTATAACATTTCTTGAAGTGTTATACATGACTAAGTAACCAATAGATAAGTTTGAAGTTGGTAGTATTATTATATGCTATAAATATAAAATTTTAAATGCTACCACTCTACTTTTCTGTGGTAGTAGTAGTGTTAGGCTTATATAACTTATAGGCTTACGCAACTTAATTCCAATGACAATATATTTGTGTCTATAGTATGTTTGTGTATCTCATATAACCCACAATTAAATATGACACTTGCTATTGTGCTCACTTTAGTAGCTACCAGCTACTAATGGGAATATTATCCACTTTATATATTCACACGTATAGATCATATACACCTTCTGGTGCTATTTCTATAGATTCCAATATGTGAAAATGATAAATCATGTTAGAGATGTATGTCTTGTACATAACTGATGTACGGGATTTACATTCTCCTTTTGGGTAATATTTATTTTGTGGGCTTATAATCATCTATTTGTATTGTATAGTTCCAAGACAAGGCATATGAAAAATAAAAGTGAACAAATAGGAATCATGATGCTCCAGGATGCCCTAGAATTGCAGATATGTCACAGTCCATGTGGCCGTTCTCTGAATAGATAAGGTTGGGACTGTCTAGATTGAACATATCTTCTCTTTTGAAACTGTCTTCACTGTGAAGAAGCTTTTCGCTGCCTTCCTCTACAGATCCTCTTAAAACAAGAGTCTTGTGGATGCCAGCCATGAGTTCTTCATAATCTGTATCCCCTCTTTCTCCAACAAATATGATTGCTTTGGACAGATCAATTCCCCACTTAACTGATAAATACCTGCATATTGGACAAGACGTATGTCATTTTATCTTTGTTGCTCAAATCATTTCACAACTTGCAAGATTCAGATATCTGGGATCAATCATACAATGAGATGATGAAATTGATAGAGATGTTACATATAGAATATAAATGAGGTGATTCAAGTGGCAAAAGGCTAACGGAGTTATTTGTCATCAACAAATAACAATAAACGTAAAGCAAAGTTTTATTGCATTGTTATAAGACGACCACTAATATATGATAGTGAATGTAGAGCTTTAAAGGGACAAGAAGTTCATAAATTGGCGTGACATCTATTAAAGAGAAAATGGGAGAAAATCATTTGAAATGAATCAAACATATACAAAGAAGGCCATTGGAGATGTCAGTGAGGAGAGTGGACCAAACAGTATAGTGTCCTCTAAAAATGGTAGAGAAAGACCGGAGAGGATGTTAAATAGAGTTATTGAACAGGACCATTTGGCTAATAAAATATTCAATGACTTGGTTCTTAACAAAGCATAATAGCATCATGAGATCCAAGTTATCAATCCTTCCTAGTGGGATATGTTTCTTCTTCTTGTTGTATTCAGCTATCTTTTCTCATACTTGAAGTTTCGGTGCACAATAAAAGAAATAGGGAGGGCATGATGTTGCTAACCTCAAAGCTTGTTTTCTTGATGCAAATAATGGTATCACATTTAATCTGAATCCTGCATGTGTATAGACTAGGTTACAACGGAGGCCTCTCATTCGTAGCCTTTGACGAAGATCATATATGTTTCTAACCTGTGATTCATCATCAACACATGAGAATCATGGTTTTGAAATAATTTTTTTCCTAAAATATACGAACCATTGACGAACTAGTTTCTTCTTTAACACATAAATATCTTACCTTCATGCCTGGTTTCACACAGTAGGAATAACACCTAGAACTAAAACCACTGACATACTCTTCAATGTAGTCCTTATCTTCTTCACCTTCAATCCCAGCCAGCCTTGGTACCATTGATGTAATATTTTCACCGGGCCATCTATACTCAACATGGGCTTCATAATCTTCATCAACCATCAAATCTTTCCATGGATAATACATTTCACTCCCACTGTTACACACTAGAGCATCAAATTCTTCTATGTTTATATTGCAGCTGTTTAATGCTTCAATTGTCTCTTTCAAACTTGAACCTGTTAAGAGTACAACTCCAACTCTTCCTGATCCTATACCTGGTCCTGCAAATTTCATCACACTCTTGATAATTGCCTCAAAAGCTTTTGTCAAGCTTCCTTCTCTGTCATAACAATCTGCAGCAATCACAACAAGCCTTTGCCTTCTCATGGGATGAAAACTGGCACTGGAATTCCTAGTAGATGATGAGACCCTATGGCTAATGGCTTCAATGAGTTCTTTCGGTCTGGTTGCTGGATCTGTCTCTGTATTATTAAACTTGGAGTCTCCTTCAATGGAGAATCTCAGAGAAAGGTCCTCTACATCTCTTAGAGAATCACTTATTGGTTCTTCCGGAATTGGCATGATTTCCAAGCGAGAGGTAGAGAGGTGGTTCCTGCAATGTTCAATATGAGAGAGGTAGTTTTGGCAGTGCTCTGGCCATGAAAAACGATGGATGTTTCTTAGGCCATTTTTGCGGCACTCTAGCCAAAGATTTTTATCAGCAACAAGCTTTAGCAGTGCATCTGCCATGGCTTTCTGATTATGGGGATCAATCAGGAGTCCATTGTTAAGTACCTAGTATGGTATGAATGTATATAAGATAAATGGCTAGCCCAACAAAATAAGCATAAAATTTTAAAAAGAAAAAAGAAATGTGGCTAACTTAATGATGACTAACCACGTGGAATAGGAAATCCTACCCAAAAAATAGTTGTTAAGGTGGAAGAACCAGCCCACTTAAATACCCATTTAATGTGACTTTGAGTACACTTTATTAAGTGGTTAGTGATGAGGAAGTAATGCCGGGCATTGTAGAGAAGGCTCCTTGAATAGAGGAACTGGAATTTATTTGATACAATAAAATTTAATTTTGATAATAGGAGACAGTGTGTTTATGCATTATTTTTAGCCTACCTTTAGAATGTCCACCGGCCCTCCATTTTTTGTGGCGACAACAGGTAAACCATAAGCTGCTGCCTGTGTAATATGAGAAGGAAAGGAATTCCTGTAAGTTCTAATTTCCTCCTTGACTGAATCAAATTATATTTCCTTTGATTAAAAACCGAGGTTTACCTCAATGATTGTTAGGCCAAATGGTTCCACCAAGGCTGGGTTGATAAAAACTCCCTTCAGAAGACAATATGCACAGTACCGATGTTAGCAAATGTATCATAGACAACAAGTGTGGTGTATAAATAAAAAATCTCAAGACATATGGCATGCAGAAAACTAAGCTCTGAACCATTATTTCACATCATAAGTTAATTACGTTGTACTGTTATAACGATCTATATAAGTCATATAGGGATTTTTCACTTTGCTGCTTTCCTATGAGCAAGGCTAGTCCCTACATTTTTAGTATTCAAAAAGATGAAGACAAATATGTATAAGTACCTTAGTTTTTGCAGCAAGACGATATATGTCTGGTACTTGAGATTGTTTATGATGCTTGGGGTAAGCTACTTGACCATATAAATCGTACTTATCAATAAGCTTGAGCACCATGGAAAGAACAGTAGAACTGCTTTCAGACATCTCTTCAATGTCATCTCTATTTCCAAGTATGAGTGTCTGCCGTGATTCACAGTGAAACACTAAGTCATTGCTTTCTGACATGCTTACAATTTGTAACTAAGTCTTATTTTCAATTTAATCCCTCAATCATTATATATTGAAGGTTTTCCACGTCAGAAATGTAAAACATACCAGGTTGGCCAATTCCCTGAGGCGGTGGCATTCCCCAAAAGCCTTGAGCAGGGTCATGACATTTTTCTTGGGATCAGGTCGGGACAAGGCTAGTATAGTTGGCTTGTGAGGATTTGTGAAAAATCGCATTATCTGCATAGAATATAAAACTCATTTTCATATTTCTTTAAGTGTTGGAAATTTAGGGGAAAAAATGGGTACCTAAATTTTAAAATATATCAGAACAGTTTTTTGAAATTTTGACTGCAATAAGGGCATTAAATTTAGTTAAAATTTACTTGGAGAATTTGCCTGCTAGGTTCCACAATTTTCCCAGATCAGTTGTGGTTAATTTTGATGGGACTTAATGTTTTTACTTCAAAAGTTCCAAAAGGTGTTCTATTTACATTCAAAGTTCACATACCCATTGTGTAAACAGATCATATTACAAGCATAAAATAGTTTCCTAAGATATTAAGGAAAGACGTGGTGCTTCATATGTTAAAATTGTTATTTCATTGTTTTCAAATAAGCATTAAGGAAATAAACATGGGCTTCTGTTTTTGATGCCAAAAGAAGAAAGGAAATGGACATGGAAGGGAAGAATTGGCAACCTCAGACCATATAGGAGGTAGTTTCTTTTTGCTTTGAGCTCTGTTTGATCCAATCAATGACTTCAGATCTCCCTCACCTTCCATTGATTCATGTGTTGTAACATAACTGAAGTCCATGCCTGGTGGAATGACCTAATGATATAGTTTCAGCAGCAAATTTAACTGTTTAAGTGTTTAGCAGTGAAACTCTTGGAATCCCTTGTTCAATAGTTGAGAATATTGCCACACAAGTAAACACCAGCGAGTAATGTGATTTTGCATCTTTGCATAAAAGCATAAACTCTTATTTTCAAGTGCAATCAAGTATCTGACATTGGCAGCACTGGAACACTAACACAGACACACAAACATGTTCTACAAATACTAATGTTCATACTAGTTAACTGGGGGTTAAGGATATATACATTTGATTGATTTGCTCCTACCATTCTTTTAAATTTATATAGAAGTATTTCTGCAATTTCTCATATACGGAGTCTGTTCTAGTCAAATCATTGATTTGAAGATTGGTAGCCTCCACATACTTGGTGAGAATATACATAACCTCATATTCCCTTCAGTCCTAAATGTGGGAGCCAGATAACTAATTTGTAGAGAATAAGAAAATTAGTTAAATTAGTTATTTGTAAAAAAATATGTGTTAATTTCCCTAAAGTATTAATCATTTGTATTGGAAACTACTCTCTTGATGAAAAAACTCCCTTAATTTGTGCAATCAATAGACAGTGTGATAGTGTTGTTTGTATATGCTATGTGACAAGCAATTGAAGGCCAAAAAATATTGAGATTCATCATGCATACCACCATCCTAGGCATGTATCTTCCTAGGCAGCTTACTCCACGCCGTCTCCGAACCCTAAGTTTCCTCTCCAACTTGAGGTCAAACCCGTCATACAGTCCCCATTGCTCTTCAATCTCTTGCCTTGTACTGGTCACAACCATTTCTGCAGCGTCCAACGCCATCTCCTCAGCCTCAATCCTTCTCATTATCTTGTATGTCACATTTATGGCCTCCCTAGACAGCCTTCCTTGCTTCAGAAGCTGTTCAAACTTGTTACGTCCCAAGGAGTGCCCTGTTAGTACCATTGGTACATTCAGTGCACCAGACAAGTGAGCTGCTATCTCCCCAGCGTCGGCATAGTGACCATGGATAACATTAGGCCACATTGGTTTTCCTCCCTTCACTTGTTCACCTAAAGCCCTAGCCATGTTCACAATGTGATTCAAAGCTTCATCTACAAACTCAGGTAGGTATGGCCACAGTGACTCCTTTGGTATGTATCTGCATCACATGTCCCATCAAAATTTATGATCATCCGAATCTGAAATGTGGTTTAAAGTTTGTCTTTAGAATTTTAGACATTTGCATGTTTCCTTACAACAAATGTTGTTTGTACTATACTCAGATGAATGATGGGGATCTAAGTGGAATGAGGAACCATATCCCCAAAGCTAGTTATTGAGGAGGGAGAACCAACTTATTTTAAATACCCCATTGAGCATCTCTCAAGTCTTCATCAATAAATAACAAAGAATTTTACGTCTGGTAGATGAAGACTCCAAGTTAATGAAATTTATTTTGATTATTCCTGTGTTTTGAAATTCTTCCTGGAGGCCAAAGGACAAAAAATTTGAAGTGCATAAGAAAAACTATAGTGCAAGGCACTAAATTAAAGTTTCGTGTCTGAGTCATTTGGAGTACTTAGTAATATAAATGTCTTAAGGAACCTACTTGTCTTGTGGGCCACATGGAAGCCGGATGATATAAGCTCCGCAGCTGCCACTGCCATCAAGAGGACAAGACAACATCTCAATGGGCTCCCCATAGCTTGAGTCTACTTCTGGTGAAGCTATCTGTCTGGTTAGTAGATCAACTCTATATATTCCCTTTGTGTTTGCTAGTGCACGAGCTAGTTCCACCACATATTTCACCTGAATTTGAAACTCAAACTCAATTTATGGACAACAAGAATGCTTTTTTTTGGATCTGACTTGAGCTTATTAACTGGTCAGAGAGAAATTCTTGCAGAGATTTAATCTACTGATTCTCAGAACCTTAGTCTTTTTTAACATCATACATTATTCTCTTGCAAAACAGCCCCCTGCCTCTAATATCACATGGAGTGAAGTTGGAGATAGTACTGCTGAACAGTATCTAACGTTGGAAGCTTTTCTCTATAACTTATAATAGTGGAGTTCAACTAAAATTTATTTGAACTTGTCTCTCTGTGTCTCTTAGACTTTGTGCAATACCATGCCATTCTTTATCCTTATATAAATATAATATAAAAGCTTTAACAAATTGCGCTACTCATGAGTCATTATCAGTGCAGTTCATTTCTCAGACTCTCTGCAAAAAAATTGAACTAACCTTAGTTTATTTCTAAATGTTCAATAAATCATTATGTCAATTACTAGCTAGCTATCATTTGCAAACTAGAAAGTTAGCTGACATATTCACTTGGCTGATCTTTTTAGCTTAGCCCACCAATTTTAATAAACCAAAACTCATGAAATCTCTGTGAAGTTAACAAGTACCTGACCACCAGTATCAGAATCTCTCCCAAGTTCCATGTTCTCTCCTCTTACCAATCCGTGAACACTACAGTAGAAAAATCATATCACAATTATAGAATATGAAAAATTGACAATACATTAGTTATTCTACAAAATACTCCTCTAGTCTTGTGTATAATAAGAACTAGATAGCAAATTTGTAGAGATGAAAAAGATTGGCTAAGTTAGTTATTTGCAGAAAATATGTGTTGGTTTTCTTAAAATACTTATTTAATTATTTATATTGGAACTAGTCCCTCATCTGAAAAGGAAAAAATTCGGAAAAAGTCCCCCACTAAAAACTTTATTGGTAGCAAGGACCTAAATCAGAATGTCGATTTCTATCGTTACAAAATTTGCGAAGTATTGGTACTTTCTATGTATAAAAATTCACCAAGTTCTTCTCACGGATAAAATTTTCAATGGGGGGCTTTTTCTCAATTTTTCTTAAGAAAATCCTCTTAGTATCTGCAATTGGTAAGATGGTTTTGGGGGGAGATTATAAACCTTGAACACAAAGTAAATTGACATCTTATATTTAGAATCAAAATAAATCACCTAATTGGCTTATGCATTTAATACCGGAGGGAATATCAAATTTATTTTACTTTTAATTTCTCTTGGAGAGCTAGGACTAATATTCCCACATATCACACTTTAGCTATATATATGTTTTTGGTGATGATGGAGTGAACATGATACCTGATTAAGACAATATAAAGGTTCCTAAGCTCATTCTCATCCGACCAAAGTTGCATTTCCGAACTGATCCTGGGAATGTCCTTCTTAGATTCCGAAGCATTTACATCTTTCTCTTTTTCACCTTCTGAAAGTTCTGACAGATCATCTGCAGCATCATTCCGGCCTTGTTCTCTCTCAAATCGCCGTTCTGCAAGCTTTTGTGCATCATCCCATGCAATCTGCAGAAAACAATGGTTACAGCAATTATTGTTGAAGCTTCTCTTCCAAGCAAACCCTTTAATTTTATGAATGTTTTAGGAATGATCAATATTCTCAATACTATTACTAAGTATACCACAATTACTGCACTGAAACTCATATCAGACATTAGGAAAACTAATCGTTTGGTCCTTATAGCTTTCAAATCGGTTGCAACTTAATATTACTTGGTACCTATAGTTTTGACTCAGTTGAAATTATATCCCTAAACTTAAACTGAGTACAACTTAGTTCCTGTAATTTTAACTATTTAAAATATTAGTCCCTACTTTTTAGAAAAGGCTAAGATGTAAATTTGTTTCAAAAATTTTCATTGAAGAGCACTAAGTGCCCAGAAGTGTTTTTTTTTTTTTGTGTAAATTTGTTCTGAAAGTTTAAAATCAGGCAATGTTACCCTTATTGTTAAAATGTAAGTCCCTATAATTTTAACTATTTAAAATATTGGTCCCTACCTTTTAGAAAGGGCTAAGATGAAAATTTGTCTTGAAAGTTTTCACTTAGGAGCACTGAGTATCCAGAAGATTTTTTTTGGGTGTAAATTTGTCCTCAAAGTTTAAAATCATGGCAATGTCACCTCTTACTGTTAAAAATATTAACAGTTAACGTCAATGTTCAAAGACTATAAGTCCCCCTACTGTTACCTAAACAAGCTTTAGAATGCCTATCTCTTTTGAGTGAAAACTTATGGTACTAATTTGCACCTTAACCCTTTCAAAAAATAAAATTATAAGAACTAAATCATGTTTTAAATGGCTAAACTATAGGCACTAAGTTCACGTTCAAGGACTAAGTTTTTCCAAGTCAAAATTACATGAATTGAATGGCACCAATTTAAAGTTTAAGAATTGAATTACGAACAAAACTATAGTAACCAAATGATTAAGTTTTCCTATTTAAAAATAAAAGAACAATTAGCTACTTAAATTGAATTGTAATGTAAATGGCTTATGAACTTGCATAGATGCTTATTACTTAAGAACTGTGAGCCTTTAAGTGTGTAATCAGCTTATAAACACAGGCATTATAGAAACTACTTCTCCAGTTCTTAATATAGGACCTAATTGTAAAGTTGATTTTAGTCACAAATATAAGACTTATTTCTTATATCTATCAATTTTTTCTAAATCACTCCTATTAATACTCCCTCAACTATAGTCAAGTATGAGAGGGAGAGAGGATATGATAAAGATGATTAAGATATTCTAGGAAAAACATATCATATTTATTACAATCAACTAACTTACTTAATTTTCTTAATCTAATCAAATTAGTTAAATAGATCTTATATTAAGGATCGGAGAAGTACTTCTTTTTTGAAAATCACCTCTAAGCTTTTATTTTGATCTTATGTGATGCAAATCCAACATTGTGAAGCAGTGCTGCAAAGTTTTGTTTAAAATTATATCAATTCAACAATTACTGTCAAAATCACATCTAGAGAATTGACTTGTGACTTGTCTAAAGTCAGCCAAATTGCCTTGAAATGATTAGCAACCAGCCAATAACCATCAATTTAGTTATTTTAAATAAACTATGATTTGGGTGTCATACTTTACAAGGAATCTAAAATAAGCTAAAGCCGTACTTTTTATAACTTATAAATAGTACAGCTTCTCATGGATTTTTTATATGATATATATATTATATCATTTTAGCAAAAAAAAAATGTCCCGAAATTTTTTTTCCCCCTGATGTTGTCTCGGAAATTTCAAAACGCAGTGATATTGGTCTACCCCATAAAAAAAGAAATAACGTTTATAGCTAAAAAATTAAAGTTGATGGTTAAAACGATAAGAAACAATATTACTCTATTCTAATACTTTTAGAGTAATATTGAACCCAAGAAAAATTTCCCGACAATATTGCTTTTAAGTGAAATAAATTTGCACCTTAGCCTAAAAACAAATTTACACTAATGAAGGTTGGGTTTAACGGAATAGATTAAACTCTCATAACAGAATGAATCAATGTTCAGAACCATACCAAGAGAGTTACTCACATTTAAAGTTTAATGGTGTCTCAAATAAGATTACCTCTTGTAATAATAAGAACACATGCCCTTAAAAAATTGTGGGGAGAGAGAGAGATGCCTGTTTCTTTTTGCGAGTGAGGTGCCAAATCGGCCAGCACATATTCTCCATCCGACTGCTGCGATCTCTGCTATTCCTTGTCGCTACCACCTGCTTATTGACTGCCCATTATTTACTCTTCACTACTGTAAGTTTTTTATATGTATAAATTTTATAGTCAAGTACAGTTTCGTCAGACTTGTACATATGCACAGACACAAACACACACATTTACATAAATTAAAGTCATATTAAAAATTATAAGAAAATCAAACACTCAAGAATGTTAAAGGCTAAAGTAGAATGCGAGTTGAACTTAAATGACAAAATAAAATTCACAAGGACCTCATAGATTTTTAAAATATACGGATTAAATTAAAATTTGAGAAAATTTACATGAATTGGAAAAAGGTTTGCATTTTTCAGTGATTAACATGTTTTCATAAAAACTTGTTTTAAAATTTACATGAAGTGGAAAAAGGTTAGCATTTTTCAGCAATTAAAATGTTTTCATAAAATCTTGTTTTAAATATTATTTGATTTCTATTTTATTCACAAAAATTTCCTCCAATAACACCTTGCACATTTTTCAAGGATATGCTTTACTATATTGTCATAATATATTGGATTACAATATATCTAGCATTTCAGAATATTTTTTCGAGTGTATCCAACACCATAAAATATTTTGTGGTGTCTGCAATATCCTGAATTTTCTTTTTTTAGTGTGTTTAACACTTTAAAATATTTTCGTATACATCTAGTACTGTAAAGTATTTTTTTTAATTACATCCAGCACCAAGAAAAAAATTACTTTAGGGTGCTAGATGCACCTGAAAAATACTTCTAGATCTTGGATGTATTATAAAATGTCCAACACTCAAACAAATACTCCGAGGTGCGATATGCATCTTAACTCTAATATATTTTATGTTTTTTTTTTCTTATACATTAAGTCCATCTTGAATATATTTTTTTTTCCTTCCAAATTAAATAGTCATTGAAAACTTCTTTCTCACATCCATCAAGTACATAACTTATGTCATTTTCAAATTTCGAGTGAAAGAAACTTTGCAAAAATTGAACTCAAGGTTTCTATTCAACTCGAAAGATATTGCAAGTTGGACTACTTATATGCACAATCTCTCTCTGTGTATAGGTGTATATTGTGTAGGTGTATTCGACTTCCGATACTAGGTATAAGAACTAAATAACTAAATTATAAAAATTAAAATATTAACTATATTAGTTTTTCATAATAAATATGTGTTGGTTTTTCAAAACATCTAATTTAATTATTTTTATTGGAAACTACTCTTACTGATCAACTCTTTTTGGTATATACAATTAACAAGATTATTTTGGAAACAAGTATAAATTTGCAAGGACAAACCCTCAATTACTAGCTTTTACATTTAGCATAGGTAGGAGAGCATATTATTTCATGTGGTCCCAATTATATGAGGTGCCAGAATTATTATGAGAAATTAACTTGAACACCCACAACTTGCGTTTAGAATTTCCCCACATCTATGGAACAAAATAAAAGTCTCATCATCACCTCAGACCCAAAAAAGTGAAAAACTATCCTTCTTTTTTCTCTCTTTTCTTTATTCTTTTCACAAGTGTGTGTATCTATTAGTTTTAAGTGCAATTAATTAATACCTTTGAACCAAATATATAAAAATTTAAAAGATAAAAAACATATTTTTCATTGTCTAATTTTATATAAGGCTTTAATTTTGATTTTCTTAATTTGATGAAGTATTTTTTTTTATTTATTTAACCTTAACATTATATTATTAGTCTCAAATTGTAATTTTTATATCACTCCTCGTTATTTTAAAAAATAAAATAAACTTAATACGTTAATATTTGTAAATATTTTGTTGACATTTAAAATTTTGATGTTGGCATCTTTTTCAAAGAAGTTAGCGGTGTTAGAATTAAAAAGATTAAAAAACACTTTATAAAATTAAGAGACTAAAATCAAATCTCCTGCAAAGTTAAAAAATAAAAATACACTTGTATCAAGATTAAATCATTATTAAACTGATAAAACTGTAAACCGATGATAATTTATTTCATCACTACGCTTCCGAACAAAAAGTGAAAGAATTCACTTTTGCTATTTCTTTGTATCTTAGTCTATTCCTTCACTCCACCAAAGATTCTCAAGTGCTCTAAACCCAAAATTAAAAAAAAAAGTTTAAAATACTTTTCTCTCTAAAATATTAGTATGTCAAGGTTAAATTGTATAGATATTTCTTAATTCTCATTGTTTATGAAATTATTTAAACCTCTCCTCTACTTTTAAAGCGCAAATAAACAAGTTAGATATACAATAAAAAATTACCATTTACTATTACCTACTCTTAAAGAATATATATATATATATTCGGGTCAAAAAAGAGAATATATATTAGTTTTGAAGATAATAAAGAGGTCTACATCATTTAAATTAAAAAAATTTTAAAAACCCATGCTATTTGCTCTAACTTTTTCGGATATGACACGTACACACACACGCATATATATAAACACACACATAAAAGAAGAAAAGAGTCGGCAAAAAAACAAGAAGAAGAAGAAAAGAGTGTTTAATTTGAATAAAAATTTATGTGTATATATATATTACTCAAGAAAAAAACACTAAGAGGAGGAACGCAGAAGAATATATCTTTTCCACCCTTAACTAATCAAGCAATAGTTAAAGTGAGTTTCCAGACTCAATAATGACCCAAAATTCGTATAATTAAAATGATCCTAGTAAATTTATAGAGAAATTAACAGAGAGATAGATAAAGAGAAGAAAGAAACTGAAATGAAGAAACACAAACCTTAACCCAAGTTCTGTAAATATCAGATTCATCAAAGCTATCGATAACCTGTTCAACAAAATACTTTGTAGGACTGAAGAACTTGTAATTATTCTTATTTTCTCCTTCCAAATTTCTTTCTTCTTCTTCTTCTTCAAACCTTGTGATTCTGTGCTTTCCATCGTTATTCCTCTTCCTGGTGCTGCTTCCTGCATCCAATATTGCCTCCAGATATCCATGCAACCACTCGTTCACTGCCATGATCTTTCTGTTTGGAGGGCGAGAGAGAAACTTATAACTTCACTTCAACTTTCTTGCATCTGTTTGAACCCTCTCTCAGAGAGGAAGAATGGTTTCAAGTGTTGTTTTCTGAAGCCAGCCAACCAGCGGCTTATTATAAATGTCCTTTTATATTATTTTGCCAGAAAAGAAATTATGTGAAATTTCGTTAATTTTAATTTTATTACACTACTTTTATAATTCTAGAAACTACACGTGCAAACCTTCTTTTAAAACATGAATAAATCATATAGACCTTTTTTTCTTTCTTTCATGTAAAGTGTGAATTTTGCATATTTGATTACAGGATTTTAATTTGATTCGTTAATTTTTTTTAAAAAAAAATAGCTTTTCAATCCTTTAACCCTTTTATCATTAGTGTAACATTCTGATTTCTAGACCTAGAAGTACCAAAAATAGCCTGAATTAGATAGGCTGCTAAACTGCAATATAACCAAAGCTAGAGACTCCAGAAAAGTTTCAAGGGTCCAGAAAGAGAAAAGAGGTTAGATATAGGCCAAAGATTAAGTTAGAAGCCTCAAAAAGATGGTTGTATGAGGTTAAGTTTAAATAGGGATTAAACTGTAAATTCAAAAAATTACGATTATCAGGGGTAAAAATGGAAAGCATACAAAAATTCCAAGAAAATGGGAAATAATACTCCAAGACTCTTTTATGAAGAGACATGATGAAAATACCCCTGAGAGAGCTTAAATGGAATTTATGAGGTTATGACCAGTAAAAGGTGCATGACTTGATGTAATTATTTAAAATACTCCCTCCATTTCTTATTATAAGAGACAAATAACCAAATTACGTTGATAAAAAAACAGTTAAAATTAGTTGAGGACAATTAATGTGTAAAAAGTATAATGTTTTTTCCAACAATGCCCCCATTAATAAGGAGAAAGAGTATGAGAGAGAATAATTAAATTATTAAAAAAAAGAGAAGTGGGAGGGAGAGAGAGTATGAGTTGTAGACAAAATAAATAGAGATAAAATAGGAAATCAATACAAAAAAAATAGAGACAACTTTTAAGTGTCTCTTATATATAGAAACATGCCATAAGCATCAAATGTCTCTTATAATAAGGAATGGAAGGAGTAGCAAGAGATCTCAAAAATATACACAAAAATGAGGTTAAATGGTTAAAAGATTGTACTAATTTATAAATTAGCCCCGCAACTAAAAGACTAGTAGAATGGTTTTAATAAATTAAAAAGCTAATTATGCTGTTAAAAAGGTATTTTAGTAAATGATTTTTATGCAAGGCTTAAAGGAAGCGTTATGGCCTGAGAAAATTTATAGATATTCTCTAGAATTAAAGAGGATTTATGGAGTATACGGAAGAATTTTTTGAGCTCTAGAAAACCAAAAAAAACTCCAAAAAATGAGAGCCAAGTAAATCAAAAAAATATCCAAGGATAAGACAAAAGTCATGATGGCTCATTAATGCATCCTATAAGGCAATCATGACACATGTGAAGGCATTAATTAGGAGAGAAGAGGTAGTTGAATAAGACACAAGTGATGTGACAAATATATCAGTGCTCTAGGAGACTAGAACTAAGAAAATGAATCGATAAAGTGCACTGATAAAGTGTAAAGGTACACTTACTTTTCACTTGGCCTAGATTACGCCACTTGTCAAGCTCCCTATGAAGAGGATTTTGGCTTTAAATATCAATTTCATTTGGAATTATTTTAAGGATAAAAAATAGTTCAAGAAGCCTTCACAAGTTGACACCTCACCCTTGTAATTTGAATGAACTTGAGAGGTATTTTGGTTCATGCAGACAAAGTTTTGGCTATAAATAGAATCCTTCCCCTCTTGTAAGACTTGATTTTTAGCCAAATCTAGGGAAAAGTCTTGCCATTTGGATTCTTGAAGAACAACCAAGAGAAAACTACCTCTTTTGATCAACCAAGCTTAGATATAAGGTTAGTAGGTTGTTTTATTATGTTCTTTGCCTTGTTTTCTCAGTTTGTATGGTGGAAAAAATCTATCCTTTCCTCTTTTATGTTGTTGGCTGAAATGTGTAAGGTTAGGAGGTGGAGATTTTGATGTTAAACATAGTTAGAACACATTAATTCAATGTTGATTCAAGTGGTTTTGAGTTGTTGTTTAAAAGATTTTATGATTTAATGACTAAGGGTACTTTTGGGCCAAAGCTGTTTGGAAGGGAAGGAATTGGATTTTCATTAATCTAAACTTATTTTTGGATTCCTTAGAGAAAATTATGTAGGATTGGCCTAAAAGAACAATTTTTACAAAGCTAAAACATTAATCCAAAAATTAAGAGAAAGAGGTTAAGTTCAAGAGAGCTAGTCTTGAACTTTATATAATCTAGTGGTCCTAATAGATTGTATGATTATCATGGTTATGTTTAGGACCTTGGAACATCTAAGAAGATGTTTGATAATGTTGACCGAAAGCCCTTGTGGTTGGAAGTTAAGGAAGTCAAAGGAAAAGCAAGAAGAAAGCTTGAGGTGCAAGGTAATAAACTTACCATTTATGTGCTTGATGTGGTATGTTTATATGTTGGTTTGTTTTGTAGATATTTGTATGATGTTGTGACATAATGATTGTTATTGGAAATGCTATTTTTAATATGTTTCCATGGCCATGCATTTTTATACCAAGCATAAAGTATAATGGCATGTCACTAGTTAACTTAAGTTTATGGAAAACTACATACCATATACTAGCATCCATCTTGTGCATGTATGTGGTAATGTTTGCTCTTGAGATTCTCTCAAATCTCACCTCTCCCTAACCAACCATTTAGGTTAATCAACGATAGGCAATAATGGCATGAGAAGCAAGGAGAAAAAAGTAGAGAATTATTCTTGTTAATGAATGAGACTGTTGATGAATGTATAATTTTCCTATTTTGTAAATTATGTTATGGATGCCAATGATGTCATGTTTAATTATAATATTTATGGCATGAATGTAACTGTATGAGAAAGAATGGGAAAGAGTAAGCCCAAGTTATATATGCCAAAGAAATAAAAAGAATTAAAGTAAAGAGTAGCTAAGGGATAAAACATAAGTCCTGGGATAATAAGTTTGTAGCTCCAGTTTGACCTATCAAATGAATGAGTTAAGCCATGATATTTGGCAGAATTATAGTACACATCCCAAGCTTTAAAATGGTAGGTAGATCACCTCAATTGAATGTGTACACAAGGAGATACGAATTTCTAAAATTGAGACACAGAATTTGAAAGTTCCAAATTTTACCAAATAAACAGTAATATTTATTGAATAAATTGTACTAATTGGCCAAAGATAAGTCTAGTTTGATATTTTTTTCTTAAATATCATTGAATGAAATTTCCGTAAAATTTTAGAACACCTCAATACGATTTTTATGGAATTAGTTATGAATTTTTGAAGTTGAGCCTATAATCAAGAATTTGAACAGTGAATAGTAACCCAAGTAATTATGTTGAAATTTTAAATCTACAGGCTTGTATCATTATCCGCTTGAACCATAACGCTTACTAATGCATATTTTGAGAGGTTAAAGGAAGGACGTTTTAGTTAGTTTCAAATAATAATGTTTTATAATAAGTATTGCTACGATGAAAATAAAACTTAATATATCAATATTGTAGAATGTTTTGTCAACATATAAAATTTTAATATAAGTTTTTTTTTCCGCAGAATTAAATTTAAATGACTGAAAAGTCATTTTATAAAATCAGGGATCAAAATCAAATAAGAAAAATTGATGAAAGTTTCCTATTTGTAAATTTTATGTTCAGACAAACTTGATGCATTTTTATGCACAGAAAATATCAGCACTCTAGATTATATCCTTTTTCCCCCATAAAATTCTTAAATAAAGTCTTTTTATTAATTTTCCTAGTTATTTGAGTTTATTAGAAATAGAAATAGGTTAGGCTAGGTTAGACTTCAACTAAATCGGTTTGGGTCTATACTGTAACAGACATCTAACACTCGAGACTACATAAAGGCCTTTTTTATGCCTAAGCTTGAGCATTCAAAAAGCTTTTTGAAAGCCTATTTAAAAAGTCAATGCCTCCAAATTCATATATAATTGTAGCGGCTTCACTCTATAAAAAGGAGGACATAAGTTTGAATCTCACAAAGCGCACTTGTTGGGAGGACTATTTTTTAACTACTCCTGTAAAACCCTATATCCCAAAACATTATAAACTCGACATAAAATTACTACTATGGTAGAAAAGGAAAGCTGTTACAACAAACTACTATAGTAGAAAGAAATTTGCATAATTTTTAGAAATTAACATTTAAACTCGGTTCAAACTCAAACTCCGTTGCATGCAACTAAAAATCATTCATGAACATCCATTGGGCCTCCGAGCCTCCAGCCTAGGTAACAAAAGATATCAACATCAGCTAATCCAAAAGGTTTCTAACAAAATAAATCAAAGTTTCATAAGACACTAGAAATAGCCTCTGGCCAACCAAAATAAGGAGATAACATTCCCTCTAGTTTACAATAAGGCCGGGCAATCAAAATATTTCAAAAGGGGCTCTAAATGTGGCAATATACAACTAGCCATACATATACAAGGGCTAGAGGCCTAAAGCTAACCAAGCTCAAGCCTCTGCGTCTCTTCCCGAAAGCACATGCCTAGAACCTTCACCTGAAAACATTGTAAACCATGGGGTGAGACAAACGTCCCAGTAACTAACCTTTCCAATTCAAGGTACTACTAAATAGGTGCTCGTGAGGTATCAAGTGGGGCAGTTCACAAGTAATATGATAAATGATAGCCACAACAAGTCATGCAAGTGCAATGGTGCAACCCCATCAACCATATCCCTCACTTTGGGGGATTTTCAAGAGCCGAACCCGGCCTATCCCTCACTATGGGGGACGTAAGGAGCCAAAAAGGGCCTATCCCTCACTATGGGGGATGTAAAGAGCCAACCATCATACATTAATGGAAGCCTTACCACGTGGTAGTAACAATCAAAACTCTCACCAATTTCCAATTCATGCATCATGCTCAAACTGTAATCAAAGAGTAAATAATCATTTCACAATTAACTTCTTTCA